ATCTCTCGGGTAGTCGGGATTATCTCTCGGGTAGTCTGGATTATCTCTCGGGTAGTCTGGATTATCTCTCGGGTAGTTTAATTGAGTTTGCAGGTCTTTGGATTCCCAGACGGTCCTGTGGAGCCCTCGGGGTCCTTTGAGGTTTCTCCAGCCGCCTGTCTGTGGCTATGAGTCCGTCTGTGCCTGCTGAGGGAATGGCTCCAGGTGAACTTGAGGCCGCATGTGAGGCACTCGTACGGTTTTTCTCCCGTGTGAAGGCGCTGGTGTTTCGTCATGGAGTTGTACCTGTTGAATGACGCCCCGCACTCGTTGCAAATATATTTCTCTGACCTAATATGGACGTTCTGCTCATGGTCCCTCAAGTTGCCCAGCTGCGAGAAGCATTTCCCGCACACCGGGCACATGTGCGGCTTTTCTCCTGAGTGAGTCAGCTTGTGGAGGGTCAGATCCTGACGGGTGTAAAAGTCTTTGCTGCAGACGATACACTTGTGCGGCCGTTCTCCTGTGTGCTTTCTCATGTGTCTCTTGAGTCCCTCAGAGCGGGAGTAGCTGCGCTCGCACTGGGAGCATTGAAAAGGTTTCTCTCCTGTGTGGGAACGGGCGTGCCGGCGCATCGAGGAGGCCTTGAAGAAACACATCCCGCAGTCGACACAGCGGTGAGGCTTTTCCGGCTGTTCCTCGTGCGTCTTCTCGTGCTCTTTGCAGTGACCCGCCTCGGAGAATCCCTTTCCGCAGACGGGGCAGGTAAAGGGTCTCTCCCCGGTGTGAACGCGCTCATGCCGCAGGAGTTTGTGAAGTTTATTGAATGGCTTCATACAAAACGAACAATGATGAGGAACCTTCGGCTTCCTCAAATGTGTGCGTTTATGCCTCGCTAGCCGTGAAGGCCTGTTGAACACTTTCCCACAGTCAGGGCAGGGATGCTTGTTGGTCCTGTTGTGGGTGTTCTGGTGTCGAATCATCTTGTCCTCCTGGGTGAAGCTTTTCTCACAATGTTGACACTGATAAAGCGACTTTGGCTTCTTTTCGTGGACAGGTTTGTGTCTCTCTACCCTGGATGGCCGGTCAAACACCTTACCGCAGGTGGGGCAAGGGAAACGCTTGTCTGTTTTTTTACTTTTCAGTTGTTTGGAGCTCTCCTGGTCAGAGTCGGACGAAACATCACTGGAATCAGACTCCAGTTCTACGTTCACCTCCACGGCTCCAACACCTGTTGATAAGTTCATAAAAGAATGGATCATTTTCATTGTCTATATCATGCTAAACCTACAGAAAGGGCTATATAATTTTCACTGTGTGAAAATGCCTTTAACATACTTAGCAACACATAGAATATAGTGGACAGGATGTTTGAACTACTGCAAACAGAAACAATGGAAAGGTCAGTAGAGAATCAAACAGTCGGGCGTGGTGAGGATGTTTCAGGGTAAATCCTGCGGTTGAAGCAGAGCTACGAGCCGATCTATTAGAACCTCGAGCACTGCGCATGTGCAAACAAGGGAGTTCTTCTTCTTCCAGACTGAAGAGTCCGACCAGCGCCATCTCTTGGTACGGAGTCAGACCTGTGGTTTTTAGACGTACAGTGTGAGCAGGTAGATCGCATCAGAGCGTCACAGTGTGAGCACAAACATCGTTAGCTGTGAACTTTTAAACCCTGCGGTTTCATCGTACAGTGTGAGCTGCGTGCGATGATTGAAAATCGAAAATCGCGCTTAAAGCGCAGACAAAACATCTGCAGCTTTAATACGCCGTGTTGATGCAGGAAGGCAGTTTAGCACTGAAAGTCAGAGTCTTTCTGCCAAGTAGGAAAAAAACAAACATTATTTCATAACAAATTAATATTCCATAGTGTGAAAGGCAATATTTCATCATATGCTGGTTGTTGACTTTGAAAGGGTTAAAAAAGCATAATATAGGACCTTTAAAAGTTATATTACCAGTATATTCTTAACATTAAAAAAAACTCAGTTTACACAAGATCTCTAAGCCTAAAGTTTCGTTCAAACTGCATGTGATTTCAGCAGCTTCTTCATTTTTGATGCTTGTACTAGGGATGCACGATATTGGGATATTGGCCGATATC